TTGTTCTAACAGCTCAAGAAGCAATGAATAGGTAAATTTTGATTCATTTAGAACCTCTACATAAGGCTTGTATGTCCTGCAAGTGGGTGGAGAAATCAGATTTCCTTTTTTTCCTGAGGAACAACGACATGTGAATTAATACAGTCACAGCTAACAAGACATATAAGCCAATATTTTGCAAGTCAGCCTGTTCCTCCAGCACTGAATGCATATAGGCATAAGATATGTTATACATGTCTAAGTGCAAAGGAAATGCAGCCATTATTTATTGGCAATTCCATTTCTGGGTGCAGTAACCACGTCTGGCCAGCAGGTGGCATAGCCGCATCTATCTAGAGTAGGATCAGACTCAGAGAAAACTGATTTTTGCCACTAAGGAAATCTTTAGACCATACCTGGTAGGTATTTGCATCAGGCAGGTGGCTGTGCCCACAGCTAGAGTTGAAAGGCTTACCCTGCCAGGGTGTGGCCCGGAAGACGGCGGCTGCAGGTATAGACAGGCAGGCGGGAACAGGGGAATGGTAGCAGCGTGAAGTGGTGGGATGCTTTCCCTGTGGATGAAAGCTGAAAACCCTCTGCTGTGGGCGCAGGCAGCTCAGGCGTTCATGCCCTAAGCGCACACACAACTAAAGTGAGTCCACGGGAGAGCTCTCCATGCTGCCGGAAAGCCAGGCGAGGCCAGGGCCAGGTCGTTGGCGGGTGGGTGGGCGGGTGGTGGGAACACAAACCCATCACCGCAGCAGTAGCAGTAGAGGTGGCGGTGGCGGTGCACACAGTAAGCTTCAGCTGTGCCCGCCAAGCAATGAGCACTCTGCCTGGGAGTGCTGAAGGGGAAAGAGGCTGAGGGAGGCTGGGACAGTGGGAGGCAGGTTTCGGGTTGGAAGGACCAATACTGGCTGCCAAGGGGGCGGGGAGGGAGAAGCAGTATGGGTAACTCACAGTGGAGATGCTCCCTGCTGCTCCTGGGCTAGGCTGCCTTTCCTGGCTGTGGCTCCAACTCTAATGATTACCCTGTGTGCACAGAGATGAACTTTAGTCCTTGATGGTAAGATTTCTTTATTCAAGAGAGCACCAAGGCAAAACGCAGGCAGACCAAGGTCACAGGAACCCAGCTAGCATGGCCAGAGAGAAGGGGCTAGGGTCTCCACGTGCAGCCCTTAAGAAGCTTCCTTTGGGTCACCCCAGCTTTTCTTCACCACGCCCTTACAGGCGAGTCCTGGGTCCACCTGTCACCTGTCCCGGGACTATTGGGCGAGGCTAGGGTGTCTCCCTAAATTCTTGTATACCTATTTTCTTAGGTTTGGTCTTTTCCCAGTATCCCATATTTCCTGGATAGTTTGTGTTAGGGATTTGTTGGGCTTAAGATTTTCTTTGGTTGATGAGCCCATTTCTCCTAGTGTATCTTCAACTCCTGAGATTCTATCTTCCATCTCTTGGATTCTGTTGGTTATGGTTGCATCTGTACTTCCTGATCATTTATCCAGCTTTTCTATTTCCAGCATTCCTTCAGTTTCTGCTTTCTTTATTGTCTGTATTTCAGTTTTTAGGTCTTGAACTGTTTCCTTTAGAGATTTTGTGGTATCTTGTATTTTTTGGTTTGTTTTTTCATTCATTTATTTAAGGGATTTTCTCATGTCCTCTTTGAGGGATACTATATCATTTTCATGAAGATGTTTTTAAAGTCATTCTCTTCTGCTTCCTCTGCATTGCCTTGTTCAGGTCTTGCTGGTGTATGGTCCCTAGTCTC